CCTGTTCCAGGGCCGTCTGCCGTGCCTGTCTTGGCCTCTCCGACGATGAGCCCTGGGCCCTTTGTGGCAGGTGTCCCAGGGAGTGTGGGATCAGCCGCCTCACCATCTGCTCGGCCCCAGACAGAGCCAGGAGCCCGTGGCGGGGGCAGGAGGCCAGCTCCCTCAGGCCTGGCACGTGGTTTCCCGGCCTCTGCCGGCCAGGCCTGGGTTCTGTGGCTGCCAAGGGGGCCTGGAGGGGGCCGTGCTCTGCAGTGCCTGAGTTTCCCTCCCAACTTACTAGTCTCTGTTGGCCGTCCCTGGACAACACATGGACCTGTCATGGCTGTGGCCAGGCTCCTCTGTGTGGCCTGGTCAGTCTCCAACTCTGGGGATCCTGGGCAGCTATGAAACCCCCAGGAGGTGGTGTGGGTCTAGGTGCTGATCTGTAGGGCCCCATGCCTTCAAAGTCCTGCTTCGCTGGCAAGCCAGGATGTTCCCCAGGGCCTGGCCTGGCCCTACAATATCCCCAGCACCAACCCAGGTGGGCACCTGGTCTTCTGAACCTTTGGGGCCTGCAGCCCCCACCCTGTGAGGCCTTTCCTGCCAGCGCCGCTATGTTGTGCCCCGTCTCACTCCAGCAGGCCCTGGGAGGCCTTCCTGGGCTGCTTCTCAGGGCCGACTTCCTGTCCAGCTCTGCGCCTTGGTCTTTGTCCTTCTTTTGCTGGGTCCTGCCTCCAAGCACCCTGCTCTTGTCTCAGCCCCGGGCCTCCTTGAGTGCCTTGCTTGGCTTTAGGGCACCCTTTGTCACGGCTCGGCTCTCCGGGTGCCTTCTGCTGTGGTTGTTGTGTTCTGCCCATGAAAGGTAGCCCTGGGGGGGGGGGCCGCTGCCTGCAGGCCAGGGTCCTCATGTCACCCGAGAAGCAACTGGCCCAGCACCTGCTGGACTCAGAGCGGGGGCCTACATCAGAGAGACCCTGCTCTGCCCACCCCCAGCCTGAGAAGACTGTCGCAGGGCCATCGGGGAAGCCGGGTCAGGGGGCCGCTCCGAGGGGGCTATCGGTTGGCAGGGGGTGGGGCACGGTGGCTCTGGCTGCAGCCGGAACAGCAACAAGGAGAGGCCACTGGGCATGTGGTCCCACCCTTTGTGTTTGTCAGGCCCCAGGCCCCCTTGCCAGTGGGAGGTCAGGGGTGTGGGCTGGCAGGGACCCCTCCCGAGGTTGGGGCAGCTCGGCAGCAGTCCAGCATGGGTGGCTTAGACTCGACCCAGCCCCTCGCGTGTCTCTAGTCTCGGGGTGGGGGTCCCGGCGTAGCGTGCAGGGAGACCTCAGGCCCCGCCACGGAAGGTGAGAAGCCACAGGCTAGTTTCCTTTGGAGTAGGGGGGCCCCTGCGCTCCTCCCGCCCTCCTTGGGGTCCTCCCTGCCTGGCTGTGGTGGGTCCTGCACACATGCACCCTGATTGTGTCTGGCCTTCCCGGAACCCTCCAATCTGAGGCCTTGTCACTTTTGGGGGAGGCGTCCTTCACACCCCACAAACTCAGCGTGGCCAAGCCTGCCGTGCAGGGCGTTCTATGCATTCAGTTGTGCAGCCAGCACCTCAAATTCCACATTTTCCTCACCCAAAAAGAAACCCTGGACCCTCTTGGCAGCCCCCACCTCCCCGGGTGACCAGTGACCGCTGAGCCACATGCTCTGAGTTTGCCCCTCCTGTGACACTCAGCAGTCCCCATGAGCACCTGCTCTGCCTCCGAATGCACGTGCCCTCACTCCGTCCACGTGGACACTCGTGGGGCAGAGAGGACACAGCAGGAGGCCTGGTCGGGACACCCAACCTTGGTGCCGTCCCACACTCAGCTGCACAGTCCACAGGTGCCGCCGGGGCCACTGCCCCAGTCTCAGGGGCCATCTGTCAGCATCTGTCCTTCCCCTACCCCTGAGGGAGGACACGAGCCCTCAGCCCACATGGGCCCAGGGCTGAGGGCCCCAGGCCCCGTGCTATGCTCCCTTGTCCAGGGTGCACACGTGACCCTCCCACAGCCGGGCGTGCTGCGGGCACTGCCTACACCGGGGGGGGGGGGTGGCCCCCCGAGTCCCGCTGCCCTGCCTGTGACAGCCTCAGGTGCCGTGCCCCTCCAGGTGTTCGGGCGGTCTCGGGGATCCTACACCCATGCCCGGCCTCCCGCAGGTACATCCAGATGCTGAAGGACCACAGGCCCCGGATCGTGTGGGACAGCCAGGCAGCAGAGCATTTCTTCGAGTACAAGAAGTGAGTGTCCAGGAGGAAGCCCTAGGTGAGGGGTGTGCCTGCCCAGGCTGGCCAAGGGCCCCCCGGGCCACCAGCTCAAGCACCGCCCCTGAGGGCTGGGCCAGCCCAAGGAGTGGGACCCATGGAGGGCCCTTTCCAACAGGATGGAGACCTCTGCTGGAAGGGGAGGCGGGGCCGGCACGCCCTTCCATTTGTGGGGGGGGGGGGGCCGGGAGAAGCAGAGGCTGGGAGGAGGCAGAAGGCCTCATCATGTTTTGCAGAAGCCGCGGTGGGAGGCACATGGTCTTCTACCCAACTCTGAAGGTATGTGTGGGCCAGCCTTGATGCTGGGGGTGGGGGCAGCAGGTACAACCCCTCCCCACAAGGACCCTTGTCCTCAGTGAGGCCCTGGTGAGCAGTGTCGGCACTGGGGCTGCCCCAGCGGTGAGAGGTGGGGCTAACGCCTGCCCGTGGGCCCGCAGTCTGTGCAGGTGCGGCTGGAGCTGGCCCGGGAGCTGGGCGTCGGAGTGTCCATGTGGGAGCTGGGCCAGGGCCTGGATTACTTCTACGACCTGCTCTAGGCCTGGCTGCGAGCGGATGTGTGCTTTCCTGAGCGATGGAGTAACCAGTTCACGTGTGAAATACAGACTCTTCTCTGTTTTCCGTTCAGTTTCTGCTGCAGTCCTCGAGGTGGCCGAGGGGTCCTGGGAGCCAGGCCTCCTCACCAGTGATGTGGGGTGGGGCCGACCTGGCCAGGTTGCCCAGACGACGCAGGCCCCTGCCGCCTGGCGGGGTAGGGGCAGGACCGGGCTCTCTCCCCTCCCCTGTCGACCCTGGGGCTGTGCCGAGGGGCCTCGGCCTCTCACTGCCCATGCTGGCCCGGCCTGCCCAGCGAGGGGGTGGGGGCCACTGTACAAAGCCCGACTCAGAGAAGCTGTTCCTGTCCCGCAGAAGGAACCCTGCGAGCCCGTGGGTGCCAGTGGGCTGGGCGGTCGGGTTCTGCCCACGGGCATAGCCAGGCTCCCGGGATGAAACATCAGGAGAGACTCTGGTGCATCTTAATGAATGAGTAGCCAAAGACAGCTGGCCCCCTTCCCCCAGGCTTTTGGCCAGAAGGGCTGCCGGCCCCCACTCCCAGCCACTGAGCTCCGTAGGCCTGCAGGCTGTGAGCAGCAGAGCCCCTCGGTAAGCACGCCAGTCCAGGGCCTGGTGCTGTCCGCGGAGCCAGCCCCAAATGACTGCTCAGCTCCTGTGTGTGAGCTTGGGGCCCTGCCCAAAGCACTTGGGCTTCCACGCTGCAAGTTCTGGGGTGGAGGCTATGCTCCCTGCTCTCCTGCTGTGGGACATGAAGCGGGAAGGGCTCCGAGGGGCAGGGCCCGCTAGTGCCCTGTTGGAGCGGCCCCACGGAAGAACCCCGCTGTTCTGAGGGGGACAGGCCCCGCCAGCCACCCCCTCTCCCAAAGCCGCAGTCTTGCTCTTGGGGGTGGGTGGGCGGGACGGCCTGCTGGCGTGGGTGAGGAGTCTGGGCCTGAATAGAAGGACAGAGAGGGGGTGTGGGGTGAAGCAGAGCCGTCACAAGAAGTCCGAGTGCGCAGCCACTATGGACGCGTGTGTGCACGCTCAGCACGTGTGTGCACGTGTTTGTGTGTATGCCTGTTTGCTTGTGGGTTGGCATGTGGGGCCACAGCACGGGGTTCCCCCAGCCCCACACCGGCCACCCTGGCAGTGGGCAGGAGCGGAGGATGGAGCTGTAGGCACAGCCCAGCACGCCTCTTGTCCCAGCTTCAGAGGCTGGGGCAGGAAGGGAGCCAGGAGCCCTAGCACCAGGGCTGGGGTGCTGGGCTCTAGTGCGTCTGGAAGTCTGTTTAGGAGTTGGGGTGCTCACAGTATGAGTCGGTGTTAGATGGGGAGCCGAGCAGGTGACAGATGCTGGGTGTGCATGGGAAGGTGGGACCAGCAAAAGGGGGTGGGGGCTGGGAGGGTGGTCAGACGCCCTGGTCAGACGCCCGGGGGCACCCACACTGAGGACAGTGAGCCTGGGAAGCAAGCAGAGGCAACAGGTGGGGGTCTGTACTCAAGGGCAGGGACCCTGGTGGACCAGGGCACAAAAGCCGCTCGAGGGCCATGGTGGAAGTTGAGTCAGGGCTGGACTCTGAGGGGTCACATAGGAGGCTGTGGGCGGAAAGGGTCCCAGGTCTGCAAGCCGTTCCCATGGGTCCAGTGAGAGCTTGCACGTCGGGTACATGGAGCGCCAAGCCTGGGGCAGGTCTGTCTTTGGTCACACATGCTTGGAGAAGAGCACGAATTGGGGGGCCCGGGTCCTAGCAGGCGGGCTCTATGGACACTGGTGGGCGTTACGTGGGGACTGCTTTGCTGGATGTGCGACCGTTCCTGCCGGTTTTCCAGTTTGCTGCCGGTAGGTGAGGAACAGTTTGGTCTGGGGGCGTTAACCGTGTGCCCTGAGATCACTAACTGCAGTGATCTGGTAGTTTCCATGGAGCGAAGACAGGTGGTGGTGGTGGGCTTGGGTGCACACTGGCGGTCTGGGTTGTGTCTGTGGCCATGGTCAGTGCTTGGCTGGGCATCCCCAGGTGGGCCGGAGAGAGGGCAACACCTTGGAGCCGGCAGGAAGGAGGGCTGGAAATTGAGGCTGGGGGCTCGTGAGTCTCCTGGGAGGGGCCCATCCTCCAACCCGAAGCTCCAGACCCACAGCTTCCTCATCCCGTCAGCCCTATCTCAGGAGACCCCAGTGTTTATGCACCAGAGGTACCTGCTCCACTCCTGACAGCCCATTTTATTTGTAGAATCCATACAGATGAACAATTCGGGGGCCAAGTTCACAGGAACAGAGACCCCTGGGGGCAGGCAACGCCCTGGGCCTACGTGGAGGGGGGTCAGAGGCGCAGGGCCGTCCTGAGGCACCTCTGCACCACTTCCTGTGTCTGATTTCACGGAGGTTTGGTGGCTGGCCCCACGCATGTGCAGGAGCCCCACTGCAGGCACTGGGCATACGGTGGGGGGGCCCACGGCCACACACGGTCTGTCTGGGCACCACCCCCCCAGAGGCTCAGGGCAGCAACAGACACTCGGGTGGGGGCTGTTGCCCACGCACTTTATTAAGATGCACCCAGAGCCTGCACGGGCTCGGCTGTGGAATGTGGACGGTGGGGCTACAGCCCCACCTTGAGCACCAGGACCAGCGGTCAGCCCTTCACCCCCACCCCCACCCGTGAATGACCCCAGCCGGGGGGAGCGCAGCTCTGGAGAATACATGGGTATGAAAAGCTCCTCCCACCCCCAGCCCTGCCCACATTGCTAGCACTTGGCGACCTCCTCCAGCACGGTGTTCGGTGTTCGCAGGGCTGGCTGAGGGTCCGGGGGCGGGGGCATCCAGGGTTGGTGCTGAGTCCTGAGCAGGAGAGGCAGGTGGGGACATGGTCACCTCCCCCATGGGCTGTGAGGCAGAGGTGGCAGGCAGTGGGCAGCCTACGCACAGTAGGTATCCGCCTTCACCACCTGGCAGTACATGGTCATAGCGAAGGTCAGACCCAAAATCTGTGGGGACACAAGGGGGCTGGGCAGGACTGCTCCAGGAGACCACGAGCACAGAGGGGTCCTGCCCACGGCCCCCACCCCACAGCTTCCTCCCTGGACGGCCTGTACCCCACTTCTCGGGAGGCCTCCCCCGACTGGCAGTTCAGGTCCAGCCCAGCCACATCCCCCTGAGCCTTGGCACAGGGGGCACCCTGGGGCCTCCTAGGGCTTGGCCCCCAGACCTGCCTTTCAGCGTGGCCACTGTGGTTCTGCTGGTGGCTTCAGGGCCCATCGGCTCCACGCCCCTCCCTACCTGCCTGTCATCCAACTGTGAGAGCCTCTGACAGTGTCTGTGTGCTCTGGCTGTGACCCCCATCTACCTCTGTAGCCCAGGAGCGGGGCTGCCCTGACGTCGAGTTTACTGACACACTGGCCTCGAGCTCCCCCAGGGTGCTGACATGCAGGACTCCGTGGGGGCTGGGAAGCCAGGGCCAGGGGCACCAGGGCCTGGGCTGCCCACCCTCACTCTGCACCGAGCCATCCCGTGACCACCACCCACCACAGCTGCCAGGCTTCGGCCGCAGGAACAAGGCTGGCCTGCCTGTCCCTGACCTGTCAAAGGTCACCTCCCCGTGGAGTAGCCCTGGACCATCCCTCAAACCCCACCTCTCAGCCACGTGGGCTCAAGGCGCTTCCACCCGGGTGCTGGTGAGCTAGGCGGCTAGGTGGGGGGCTGGGGTGGGTCCAGGTGGCTCCTGAGGCAGGCCCCACCCAGCGTACCTGTACCAGCGCCGTGCACAGCCCAAAGATGCCCACAGCCAGAAGGTTCTCCTGGAGCCACATCTTCACGGTCTCGTAACATGGCTGGAGGAAGGGCACACGTCACAGGGGCCATGAGGCCGCCCCCTCCACCCCTGGGTCCCAGATGCATGGGGAGGGTAGGTGCTCACCGCCTTCCACCAGGTGCCAGGTGCGTGAAGGCCACAGCCCTCACTGAACTCCAGGCAGCAGGAGTCCGGCACGCGAGTGGCATTATAGACCTCGAACCAGTCGGTGTAGTTGGAGACCCCACAGCAGCGAAACTACAGACAGGCGCAAGGGCTGGGATGGCTGGGGAGCAGGCAGGTGGGCCCTGCCCCTACCTGGCACACCCGCGACCCCTCTGCCTCCACACGCACACACAGACTCACGTCGGTCTGGATGATGCTCCAGGCGTTGGTGAGGCCCACGTTGCCTGGGGTGCCATACAGGTGCAGACCCTTCTTTAGGTCCCTCTGGGCATACCTGTCGATCTGCAAGCGTAGCGGGGTCAGCCGGGCCACCCCCACGGCCAGCCCCACCTCCCTCACCCAGACCCCCCAGGCACCCTGTGCCCACGGTCCCCCCCCTTGGAGCCCCCTCCTCCTAGAAGCCCCTGTCCCTGTGCCCAGGCCCAGGACTTTGCCCCTGCCTGTTCCTGCCCCTGGGCCCTCTGTGGTGCTGAACACCGGCTGGCACGTGAGTCCGCCCCCTCAGCTTCAGGTACAGAGACGGACAGACACGTACAGAAACCCCGAGCGCGGTCTGTACATGCGGGTTGTGAGTACACGGCTCCGTCTGTCCGCTGAGGGGCCCAGAAGCTACGACGCCCCAGTGGCGAGGAGCACGCCGGCCCCCGGAACTTGGTTCCCCAGACCGTCCTCCAGTGAAGGAACCAGGGCTCCTGGAGAAAAGGCTGATTCCAGGGCTGGGGCAGGAGATGCCCAGCTGGGTCTGGGGGCCGTCTAGCGCCAAAATGCACACCGAGGGGAGGATGCCAAAGGGACCCAGGAGCCAAGCAAGAGCTCCCAACGGGCAGCGGTGCAAAAATGTGAGCAAGATAAGGAACACAGGTCTAGGGTACAACCCAGAGTCAAAAACACATGTAAACGAGCCATCAGTCATGTTAGTAAGTAAATGGGGACGGGATTTTCCCTGCCCAGGAGACATGCAGTCCAGGACAGTAAGGAGCTCAGCCAGAGCACAGCACCGTGCCCCTGCACCCCCACTTCTCAGAGGGCCAGAAACCTCCCCGAACCTCCAGGCCCCTGGTGTCCCCCTCCGGGCCCGGCCTCTGGGGGCTGTGGTTAAAGCCGGCTCTTCCAGTGAGTGGATGGCAGGGGCCGCTGTCCACCCGCACCGAGCATGGGGCCTGTGACCGCCATTCCCAGCCCCGCCTTGCACCCTTGTCACCACAGCGCAGTGGCCCCCAGCAGGGTGGTGAGATCAGAGCCCCCACACCCAAAGCCGGGGAGGGCGGGGTGGCCGAACCTGGTCAGTGCAGGCGAAGAACAGGGTGGTGACGGTGGCCTCCAGCAGGAGCACCAAGAGCAGCATCACGAAGAACTGCAGAGGAGACCCAGCCTCAGTGACTTGGCCGCCCCGCCCCCCAGCCGCCCCCCAGCCCCCCGCGAACCGCGGGCAGATGCCCCAGTGCTGCCGGGACACACACCAGGTCTCCGTCCCCCAGAGAGCAGCGTACCACCCTCACGCTGCCCCACCTCCCTCGGAAGAGCCCCCGAGGGGCTCTTGCTCGACTGACCACGGAGCACAAGCCTCACACCTGCCGGCACACATGTGCTTTGTGCCTGTGTCCCTGTGGTGGGCGGGGAGGAGGTCAGCCTGTGATGACCCTGAGCCCTGGGGGTCACAGCCACCAGAGCACACCCACTCGGGAAAGACCACGGTGAGGGGATAGCCACCAGGAGCCTGAGAAGCCCCACCCAACTGCACAAACCTTGCCTGCTGGGTGACAGCCTCCCACTCGAGCACCCCCAAAGGCACAGCCCCGACCCTGCCATAGACGTCCTAGGCCAGTGGAGCAGCAGAGACGGCCTGCGTCCACCCCGCCCTTCCTGCAGACAGGCATGGGGCCCGGACAGAGGGAGCGCGCCCTGGCCTCTCCTGGGGCCCCCGATCTGTCCTTCCCTCAGCGCAGGCCCAGGATGCCCCCAGCAGGCCCCAGGCTCTGACTCCCGAGTCTCCCTGTGGGGAAGGCTGGGGCTGGGCCCCCCCACACACACTACAGCTTCCTTCCCCGGGGCAGCTGGGGACCCAGCCACACCCCCACCTGCTGCTCCAAGGGATGGGAGCCCCAGGCCCTGATGGGAGCATCTGGGAACGTGCTGAACACCTGGGGGAGCTGCACGGACTGGGGGACATGCCCTCCGAGGCCCCACCCTGGGCAAGGGCTCCTCAGGATCCATTTGAAGGGGTGCTTTAGGACTTGAAGCTGCTGGAGGCCTTTGCCAGACATATTAATAGGTGAAGAGCCTGACCCCGGGCATCCTTCCCCTTCTCAATTATCTGTGATTAACGTTCCTAAAGATGGGAACACATCCTGCCTGTAAATCTGTCTCCAAGGCAGAGGTGGGGACTGTGAGCCTCTCAACAGAGGGTCCTGGGACAGGAGCTGGGGAGGGGTTCCCAGGAAGGGTGGTTGCAGAGCAAACAGGCCCAGTACTGGCTGGAGGGGTCCCGCCTGGCACTCGTGTCGGGGGTGACAGGACATGTGTCCTGTCAAGGGAGGCCTCCACTAAGCTCTGGGCAAGCAGCCCCCGCCCCCGACCCACCACAGCCCCAGCCTGGTCTGGAAGGCCCCAGCAAGGCCCCCCGGGGCTGCCACAGGCCATGACCTGCTGGCCCTGCGGGGTCAGCGCAGCTAGGGAGCAGAGGCCGCAGAGGTGAAGCCCACGTGCGGGGGGCACTCACGGTGAGCAAGAGGCACTTGTTCTCTTTGATGGCCCCGATGCAGCCCACGAAGCCAATGGCCATGACGAAGGTGCCGGTAACGATAAGCAGGTTGGCGGCCGACAGGGACGGGAAGGAGGATGACAGGGTGGCGAAGTTCCCCTGGGTGGCAGCCAGCCAGATGCCAACACCCAGGATGCCGCAGCCTCCCAGCTGGGACCGCCGGGGTGGGGAGAGAGGGCAGTGAGGCCACCATCCACGCATCCCAGACCACCCCAGAGCAGACCCCTGCGGCCACCCAGAGGCATCCCGCGGGCCCCGTGCGTCCTCGCCCACCCTGCCAACCTCCACGGCCAGTCACCCCTCCCATTCCTGTCTAGCCCCCAGCCGGTCCCCCCACAGCCACAGTAATGGGGACCCCAAGGCCCACACCTATGGCCGTGGGGAGGATGTGGTCTGAGGACACTCTTCACTCGGGTCATGAACGGGGTGCTGCCCCTGTCCCAGTGACATGGTGAGGCAGCCTGGGCAGGGGGCCTAGGGCGCCCCCAAACACCAGCCCTTCAGGGAGCACCCCCTCCTCCCCCGGAGCCTGGCCTGCACCTACCCCACAGCCTCTCTGGACCTGAGAGTCAACCCTGCTGGACCACACGCTCCCCTCTTCCTAAAACCACCTTCCAGTGGGTGGCCGCAATCCCCATGGGCCCCCCTGGTGTCCCCAGCCGTCCCCTTCTAAACACAAGCCCCAGGGCGCCCACCACGCCCTGGCATGGACGCCAGCACGGGGCAGAACAAAGAAGCTCAGCCCTGGCCCTTGCTGCCCTCCCTCTCAACCACCGGAACCTTTACGACTATTTCATAGTCGTTCTTATTACAAACACAATTAAAATGAGAGGGAGAAGGGCGAGAAGAGCCCAAGTGCGGGCCCCCAGCCTCGCCTGGTGACAGGGACACCCGGCCTTGGGGGAGCAGGGGTGGGCCAGGGATAAACAGGTGCGGGCTGGGGGCAGCAAGCCCCACAAACGCCGACCTGGTCCCCCAAAACCTGGGCTTCAGTGAGACCACTTGGTGACCAACACCTGCTGGGCTCTGGGGAAAGCTAGGTGGCTTTGGGGAACCCTCCCCACTCCTCCCCATCTGGCCCGGCCCCCATGGCCTCAGCCCCCAAGGGCTCTCCTGGGCACGACACCCAGCCCTTGGAGGGCTCACCCTTCGTGCCCAGGACAGGCTAGGTCACAGACTCCAGGGCATACCGCATCCAGCCCTGCATCACCCACAAAAGCTTCCTGAGCCTAGATGGCCAGACTCCCACCCCATTTCCCAGACCAGTAAACCGAGGCTGGGAAATGAGCCTCCCGCCCAGTCAGTCGAGCCAAAGGGAGCCAGGGCCATCCACACACAATGCCTCCCCAACAACTGGCCTGGCTCCCCAAGCCTGGCAGGGACCCCATGACTCACCAGGCCCCACAGGCTCTGAGACCCGTGCCCAAGGAGGCCACACCTTCCCATATGCACATGCTCGCCCCTCCCCCCACGGGCCAGGCAACCTGGCCCTGGGGTGGGGGTGGGGCCACCACTCGTTTCTCCATAACCCGCTGGGGAGTGTGCACACCATGCATTAAGCCAGGCTGGCAGGAGACTGCAATTATGGGGGTGGGGCGGATGCAGCTCCCAGCCCAAGGGCATTAGGGGCTATGGCTCCCGGGGTGTGGGCGGACACCAGGGGCTCCGGCCCAGGCCTACCAGCATCTGGGATCCCTCTGGGCCTTGCCAAGGGCAGGAAAGTCCCCAGCGGAAATGCCTACCACCACCCGGTGGGGGTCCAGTCAGCCCAGGGTGAACATGCGGGTCCTTTCTGGCCCCCCTGCCCCTCTTTGCACCTTCCACAGAAACAAAAACTGAGATCTAAAAGTTATAAACAACACCTCTTTTGAATGCCGCTGGCTCAGGGCAGGGTCCAGGAAGCTGGGGTCGTCCTGCTTGCTTGAGCCCCTCCCCAGAGTAGGGTGGGGGTCTGCAGCTCAGGCAAGGGGCAGGGTACCAGGTTAGGGGGACCCTGGTGCAGGGCACTGACCACATGGCCCTGGAAGTTCCCAGAGGGCCCACCGTGGACGGTGACAAAAGCCTCTGCCTATGGCCTCCTGTGAGGCCATCTCCATGCAGTGACCAAACCCAGGGCCATGACGAGACATCAGGGGCCAGGGGGCCAGGGGAGGCTGCCCAGACGAGGCTCAGAGGTGGGAGGCCAGCAGGGGCACCCACCCGGAGGAGTGGCTTGGATCGCCTCTGGGCCCTGGGTGTGCACCCAGTGTGAGGAGCCAGCTGCCCAGCGGGGGGGGGGGGGGGACACAGACAGGTGACGTCTTCACTGCAGAGCTGGGCTTGGGCACAGCCCCGGGGCAGTTATGGAGATGCGTGTGCAGCCCCACCTGCGGGATGGAGGCAGGCCCTCCACCAAAGGCGCGGGCACTGTCCGAGGTGCTGACGCCAGGCAGCGTGGCCCGGGGGACACGCAGCGCCTCTGGGCACCCCACGCCCACCTGTGGGAGGCACCACTCAACATCCTGGGGCACAGAAGAGGCTGGGACAGGCTCGGGCTCGTTCGATCCTCCAACCTGCAGGTGAGAAACTGGGAGCCGGGGGGTTTTCTGGAGCTATGCGCCCCCCCATGCCTGTAGGGACACCGCGTCCCCACAGTGTGCCCACTGCCTCTGGGCTCTCCAAAGCCCCAGCGGAAGGTTGAAGCTGGGGCTGCCCAGTGGGGTGCTGCACACAGAAGGGACACCGTGGCCGAGGACCAGGGAGGGACCTGGGTCAGGGAGGGCGTGAGGGTGCGCCACCTCCCTGTGTGGAGGGACACAGTGACCAGCTGCCACGCCCAGGCCTCACGCCGGCCTGTCCCCCACTGATTCACGCAGCCCCCACTCTGAGCCAGTCACGGCTCCGAGCAGAGCCCCCAGGATGGGGCCGCGGTGGGTGGGGCCGTCTCCTGCGGCAGGTCCCTGAGCAGAGCAGACAATGGCTCGTTCTTTACACCCGGACTGCCTGCCCGAGGGACTTGGGCGGACAGCTCCTGTCAGCAGGACAATGAGCCCGTCTGAGCTCCCTCACCCCACGGGGACACATGGAAGGGCACGGGGAGGACACGGGGGGCAGAGCGGCTGTGGGGGTGGGGGCCAGTCTGGGTCCAGGGGACGGGGAAGGGGCTCCTCACCCCCAGCACTGGTGGGAACGGGTTTCCTTAATTAACTCTGTACACGACGTCCCACCTCCACCCTGAGATGTCAGGAGAGACCCGCGCTGGGACACACACACGCCCCGCTGCCACGGGCACCCCTCGCCGGCACCGTGTCACACGGGCTCATGTCACAGACATGCTGCCCTATGGCCTGCCCTGCCCGCAAGCCCCAAGGCCCTCTGTGTTCAAGCCTGTTTGCACAGACCAGTCACCATAAACTCAGACACACACAGTAACAGGATGCATGCACACAGTTAATAAAATTACCTGTAATTTTGAAAATGTTTCTGCATATGCAGCTTTTAAAACATTTTGGCAGGAAAATTACAGCCTCCAAGTGCAGGAAAAAAACAAGGCCCGTTAGACTCAGACACAGAACATCAAACACAGGTTAAGTGGGGCTGAAGTTCCTGGGAGGCCGGGACGCCACCCCAACCCCACGGCTGTCCAGCCCCACTCTCCCACTGCCTGGGGCACTGGCTGGACTCTCCTCCCAGCCACACAAAAGCCCAGCTGGGTCCCAGGAGCAGACCCCCTGACCGCCTGAGAGACAGGCCCAGCCCTCCCGTTGGGGACCCCCATCCCTGCCCTGCCATCATCTGTGGCCTCCCTGAGCCCCTCCCGTGCACCTCGAGCACACGCCTTACCTTCTGTCCTCACCTGTCACCAGCCCCAGCCCAGTGCCTAGCTTGTGGCCCCCCATTCCTGCTGTCCTTTTTTCTTGTCTGTGCATTTTTCGATTTGGCCTAGGGCTGGGGGTATAGGGACCACACGGTCTGAGATGCCACCCGCGCCCCCAGGCCCATGAAGGGGCAGGTATCAGGTGGCCCTCTGCCACTGCCCCTCCGGCCAGCAGATGGCGGGACAGCTGGCCACGTCCTCAGAACACAGTGGAGGGCTGGGTGCCTGCAGGGGCCAAGTCTGTGCCCAGAAGCCCCTTGCCTGGCAGCCAGCACAGCCTTGGGGTGGGGGCTGGGCATGGCAAGGTGTTTCACCCCTCCCAGCCGAGAACAGCCACAAGGGGACCCCATCTGTACACGTTCAGGAAGGGCAAAATGTGTCTGCCAGGCCCCAAGGCAGGAGTCAGGGAGACCGAGCAAAGGGGCTTCAGCGACCTTCCAGGCTGACAGAAATGTTCCCTTCCTTGCCCGGATGGTGTCACCTGGCCGTTCGCTGAAAATCTACGCAACTGCCTGCCGTTCATGTTCTTAAACGCCAGCAAGCCCCTGCACCACCATCAGCCCGATTCACTGACCCCCAAGGCTCGGACACAAGGACACCAGCCCCAGCCCATCAGGGAGACAGCCCCACTGACAGGACTCCCCGAAGTCAGTGTCCACGGAGAAGGGGTTGGGCAGGGAACAGAAGAGCCCTGGCCGGCAGCTTCAGGAAGGTCCAAGTCCACCCTCGAGGGCGAGGAGGAGCTCACTGGACCACAAAGGGTCATCCACGGGACAGATAAGAACCACAGCAGCAGGGGCACCTGCTGGCTCAGCCGGTGGACCATGAGACTCTTGGGGAGCCTCACTGGGGCCCCCTAACTGACCGCTGCCACCCCCAACCTATTGGGGAGCCACCCGCTCAGCCACACACACACCTGGTTCCAGCATCAGCACCTCCGCCTGCCGCCCCCGCCGTGGGCGGGAGGGCTCTGCCGCCGAGCTGGACCCGGAGACCCATACTGCCACCACAGAGCAGACCAACATCCCCGGGCCCCGAATCCCCATCTGTCCTGTCAGCCAGCTGCTGGCCCCAAGGAGGAGAGTGTCCTGACCCTTGACCAGGGCAGCCAAGCACCCCCACCCCCAGCTCCCTGGTGCCCTCCAGACCCAATCCCATCACAGAATCTGCCTGCCCTCCCTCCGCCCACTGCAAGGCTGCCCGCCCACCCCTACTTGCAGGCAGCAGGCCACCCCTGCCTTACCCTACCGCAGAAAGAAGTGAGCCCGGACATGGGGACGCGCCCAGCACCATCAGGAGGCCATGGCCGAGAGGAGCCACAGGGTCTGGGACGCTCACTGGCCCTGCCTTGTGACCTGCTAGCTGCAGGAGGACTGCGGGGGGAGGTCATGGCCCCCAGCACTATGGGGCCCTTTCACCATGTGTCCTCTCCTCCACCAGTCTCAGCCCTGCCCAAGGGCCAGTGACAGCCACCCACTCAGGCCACCCACTCGGACATCATCTGCAGTTCATCAAAGGGGAAAATCCAGGCCCCCCTGGGGTGCGGCTGGGGCAAGGGAGACTCCAGGAGACCCCAAGGAGGGCAGGACTTACCCAAAGTCCTATGGTGGCCTGGGCAGCAGGAAAAGGCAGGCAGGGCTCCAACCCCCACCCCAGCCATGCAGAGGGACCCTGACCACAACCGCAGGGAGAGGCAGAGACGTGCGCAGCCCTAGGGCAGGAAGGGGGGCAGGGAGGGACACCTGCCAGGGGAGCAGCAGGAAGGGGGCCCTCAGCTTGGCTGATCGGAATCTGGGAAGGGTTGGGCAGCTGGCCAAGGGGGAGACACAGAAGCACCCTGACCTTGCCAGGCTCAGCCCTGCCTCCTCCCAGCCGCCCCCCCCAGGCCACCCCCGGGCCACCAAGACTGCCCCGGGGGGAGCCCTGAGCCCTCTGCCCCAGAGCAGGGGAAGGGCAGGAAGAGCACCTCCTTCCTCCCCCCGGACCCTGGGGCCTCCATCTCTGTCACCGTAGGGGCCTGAACAGCCCCAAACCCTCACCCCGCACCTGGCATCACACAGTACACCCCACCTGTTCCTGGGTACTGAACATGGATTGGGCTCCCGGGAGACACCCCCAGCCCCGTCGTGGGGACCCTGGCCCTACACTGCCCAGCACCTGTGCAGGCCTCAGAAGAGGGCCACCATGTCCCTGCCGGAGCTGTCTGTCCCCAACAAAGGCCCCAGCCGCTGTGGGAAGGCAGGAGAGGGTTTGAGAGTCCGTTGGCTCTGAACTCTGAGGGGCCCCTGCCACCAGCACCTGTGTCCCTCTCCTCCTCTGGGTGGTGGCCTGTGCCTTCCCAGCTCCCCGCCTCAGGTCACCCCAGCTCCGAGCCCTGGTGACAACACGTGGGCCTGTTTCCTTCACTGAGACAAGCCAGGGACCCAGCCTGTCCACACAGGACCGGGCAGATCGACACCAGGACAGACAGGTGTTGACTCTTTCCTGCCCCACGAGGACCCACGGCTAGAGGCCTCAGCCCTGCCTTCCCAGACCCAAGCAGGAGCCCCCAAGGAAAACCCACCAAACGGAGCACATAAGTAAGAGTCAATTACCTGCTGAGCCTGCCCTCCCCACTCCCTGCCGCCCCAGGCCCAGTCAGGAACTCTGGTCTTGGCCAGAGGCACCCCAGTGCCAGGGCAGTGGGTGCAATGGGGACAGCATTGCTGAAGGAGCAAGGGTCAATGTGAGGGCCTTGAGGGGGTCTGCCTCCAGCAGAGTCGAAGCCTGGAGGCAAAGGGGGGCCGGGCAGGGCTCGGGGGGCGGGACAGGGGTGGGATGAAGTGGGAGAAGTCACCACACCTTGACCTCTAAGCAGGTGTGAGGGCTGGTGCCCTCGGGACCCCTCACCTCTCTGCGCCCCTCCCCCACCTGCACCTGCAGCCTGGACTCCTGCCCCCCCCCACTGCCAGGACCCCCGGCATCCACGCCCTCTGGGAGCCACACCCGGGACAGGGCTGCCCCACCAGACACAACGCCCCCCAGCCCACCCCAGCTGCAGATGACGACCTCCCCACTTGCCAGGGCAAACGCTGGCCCAGCACCTGACCCGGCCTGGCCCTGTAGGGTGGGGTCGGAGGGACTGACGCAGGGGAGTGTCTTGAGGTCCAGGCCTCTGGGACTCCCCTCCCACAACCTCAGTCCTGACCCTTACAGTTAGCTCCAGTGGGGAGACTAAGGCATGACACTCAGGGGTCTCCCAGTGACAGTGGGAAATGGAGTGGGGGGCCAGCACCCCCAGGTAGCAAAGGAGCCGGGGCCCCGGGGAAGGGTGCTCTAGCCTCGGCCCCAGCCACCTGCAGCCTAGTTGGCACCTCCAACCAGGACTCAGCCTCCCGACCATTCCCACCACGCCTCGCGAGTGCTTCCCGTGGGCTGTGGGCAGGCCCGGGTGCCCCTCTCTGCCCTCCGGGTCTCAGACCCCAGCTGACGGGCCCAGGTCAGCAGGAGGGGGCCAGCTGGCTTCTCTGGGAAGAATTGTGGAATAAAAGGGAAATGGGTTGTGCAGCCCAGGAGGAGGTCCCAAAGGGGTTTCTGATCCACCGCAGGGACTGGCAGAGCGTGTCTGTCCTGCAGCTGGTAGGGACACTCCTTCAGGCTTCACAGGGCAAAGACAGCTCAGCCTGGGGACCCTTGAGGGGTCCCCTCTCCTTCTGCCTGCAGGCAGCTGCCCAGATCACTGAGGAGGGCAGATAAAGGGAGAAGCAAGTCTTGCCCACCTCCTAGGACCTGACCCCCACTGCCCCCCGCCACCCCAGGCGCTCGGCCACCTGCACCTCCACCAGTCAGGTCTGGTCAGCCCACTGCAGCTGCTCAACATCCCCCACCAAGAGAAGATGCTCACTCCTTCGTGTGCTGGGCATGGGCTCCAGCTGCCCCCCGCCCCTGCTCTGGCTCCTGGCCTCACGGTGCTTCGCTCTGGGCCTGGGCCTCATCCCTGCCAGGAGTTTCTTGTAGAGAACAAACTCTTGGGGTGACCGCCCCTGGCAGGAGCCCCCTGGGATCACACCCCTCAGGCAGCCCAGGCTGGCTGCCCCTCCCGGGGCCCCTGACTACCCCCACCACAAGCTGGGAAGAGAAAAGTACAGCCTAAGAAGGAAGGGAGGCGCAGGATTCTGGGCATCTGGCCTCAACTGAACTGCATGCATATGAGCATGAAAAGCACAGCCTCCTTGTGGGGTCCAGAGCCCAGGCCACACCCCCTCACTCCTAGTTGTGGAAGGATTGGCTCGAGAATTAACGGTGGAGCAGGGAGTGACCTTGGCATCCTCTCTCCACCTAGCCTCCCCTAGCCCAGCCAGTGGAACCCCAGCTTGTTCCGACCTGCTCCAGTGGGACAGCAGCCACCGCTGGGACCTGCCACGCTCCCTGCAGGTCTGGGGCCGGGGCTGGGTGGCAATTCTGTCATCTCCATCATCCTCCCGACCCACCCACCCTCGTCTGGAGGACGAAGGGGCCACCTCTGACCCTGGACACACACATCCTGTCTGAGCAAACCCAACCCACCTCAGCAAAAGTTATGGGCGCCCCGCACCCCGACACACACATGCCGCACACACATTCGCACCATGTAGGAAGAAGAGCCAGCAGGGCGACCAGACACCTCCCCAGCACACCTGGTGGCCCAACATCCTGCTCAGTGTCAGGCCCAGCCAGAGAACTCACCGGTGCACACACACACCCCCTCCTTTCCACAGCGCCTCCAGAGACTGGCGGGGACCACCTGGCTCCCAACAGCCCCTTGAGAACCACGGTCCTTGGGCCTATAGGTCAGTCCACTTGGCGGGGGGGGGGGGGGGGCGTCGAAGAAAGGAGCCGGCTGCGCGGAGGGAGGGGAGGGGATGGAGGCGGAGCACCAGAGTTTCAGCGCACTGCCGGCCACCACCAGCATTGGAACCCCGGCGCAGGCGGGCGCAGTGCCTTGCCGCCCTGTCGGGCGCGCAGGTGCGGGACACGGCCGGTCTCAGGGGGAGAGGGATGAGGACGCGGGGCAGCGGCCCCGAGGGCAGAGCCTCGGCCAGAGCCTCGCGGTACCGGAAACCCGCCCCACGGGCCGGGCCACCGTGGCCCGCAGCTGGGGCAGCGACCCTGGGCACACACACACCCCCCGCCCGTCTACGTCCTGCTGTCTCGCGCCCCATCCCTGCTGGAGCAGCGACTCTAGGTTCGCCCCCCCGGCCCCCGGCCCCGCCGCCACTCACCCAGAAGAGCAGGTTGAAGGCGAACATGAGGAACTTGACGCCCTGGAGGCAGCCGCGCGCCATGCTGCAGCGCTTCAGCTCTAGGAGGAAGATGAAGGAGAGGTCCAGGTAGAAGACCACGTACTTGTTGCCCTTGGGCGACGTGTAGCGCCCCTGGGCCGCCTTGGGGCCGGGACTGGCGTGCAGGCCGAAGAAGGGGCCCCCGTCCCCGCCGTCCCCGGCGTCCCCGGCGCCCGCGCGCCCGTGAAGGCTGCTGCAGCGCCGGAAGGGGCCGCCGCGCGCGAAGCCCGGCTCCTTGCCCTCCGGCGACGGGCTGCGCCGGTACGTGGACTCGTCCGTGCTCGAGCGGCGCATCGCGCCAGGGCCGCCGCCGGGCTCAGCGCCCCGCGCCCACCCCCCCGGAACGCCGCATCCCGCCCCGGTCCCGGCCCCGCGGTGGCAGCCGGGCGCGCCGCTCCGCTCCCCTCCGCCCCGGCGGCGGCCCCGGACACCTGCCCGGTCCCCGCGCCGCAGCCCCGGCCCCCGCCCCGCGCCCGCCCGCCCGCCAATCCGCGCCGGCCCCGCCCCCGAGGACCCCGCCCCTCCTCGCTGTCCCGCCCCGCGCCCCCCGCCCCCACCCCGTTCCCCTACACCCCGCCAATCCGCGCCCGCCTCACCCGCGCACCCTTTCCCACCTCGCCGCACCGCCCTGCGGACCCCTCCCCTGCCCTCCCCTCCCAGCCGCGCAGCCCAGCAAATCCGCCTGCTCCGCGGGCGCCGGCCAATCGCGGCCCCAGGGCGACGACCCGACCCCGCCCTGCCCCCCGGCAGCTCCGCCCGCGCTAGCGCCCCTCGCTCTCGCCTTCCCCAGACCCGGGAGGAAGATGCCCTCGAAGGGCAGGGGAAGCGTCGGACGGGGCCGGGGGCCTGGCGCCGAGGGCCAAGGCCCAGGCAGCTCTCAGCTCCCGGAACGAGGACCCCCCCCCCCCCGCAGCCTTCCGCCGCGGCCCCGCGGCCCCACTGTCCCCCGCCAGGCCTGGAGACCTCCGACCGCACTCGAGATGCAGAGCGCTATGCAAATGAAGGGGTGACCCAGTTGCTTTCTGGTGATGACCTGGGGCGGCTTCGACTTGGGTTCCCCGCCCGGAGCTAGACAGCAACGTAGCCCAGAACACTCCCTGGGGTGCGCACTCTCCAGCAGCTTCTCCCACCTCCAGCCTGGGCGGGCGACGCCCTCTGGGACCCCAGAGCCCCCGCAGCTCACAGCTTGGATGGGAAAAGGCCTCTGTCGGGACAGGAATCAGCCTGGGTTTACCCACCCTGGGAGGAGGGCGGGGGCGGGGTGGAGAAGCCTTGCTGCAGGAGGAGAGGGGCTGCCCGAGAGGGGCTGGGGTAGGGAAGGGCAAGTGGGGAGGGTGCCTAGGAGGGTAGGTCACTGCAAGAAATGGGGAGGCTTTCCGACTTACAGGGAGGGGCCGGAACACACAAGGGGGCAGGGGTGATCACTAGGCACCTGAAAACAGGCCCAGACCTCAACTCCCACTGCAGCTGGCTTGTTCACTGGGCCAGGGCGCGCTGACCCTCCCCTGGTCCTGCTTCTCCGGGGAGAAGGGCCCGTTTCCCCAGCATGTGACACGTGCAGCCACACAGAACCCCTCACTGGTTTAATGCTCTTGGAATTACCGATAAGTTTTGAGGGGGCCTCCCATTTCATTATGCACCAGCCTGTGCTAGAAGGCAGACCCTTCACCTCCCAGACACATCCAGCCACACTCACGTGCAGAGGGGAGAGAGCTGGGAGGGAGAGGAAGAGGGGGATGGGAAGGAAGGGGTAAGGCGGAGGGGGAGGCAGGGGTGCAGAGGAAAGGATACTGGCAAGGTGACAAATTGAGAGACTGAGTGGTGCGGGAGGCAGCAGGCCGGGGCGGGGGGGGGGGGGGGGCGGCGGGGGGGGCGGAGGGGGGGGGGGGGGGGGGGGTTGTGCAGCAGGCTGAGCAGAACGGTCTGGAGGGCTGGGGGCCCAGTGAGGTCTGGCAGCCCTACTGGGCCCTGAGGACCACTAGCATCAGCCCTCTGCCGCCCCCTGCAGGCCATTCCTAGACCCGCAGCTCAAGTCCTCAGGGCAGTGTCTGAATGCGGTCCCCCCCAGAGCAGAGCTGGCCCTGGCAGGGAGTGGGGACAGGAGAGTCCCAGAGGCCTTGCCCATGTCGCACGGCTGGCCAGCCTGGGGTTTCCCATGGCCCCCCTGCCCTTTCCTCCCCCAAGTGTGCTCCGGTGTGTCTGGGCTCCAGGAAAGGGACACAACAGTGGCCCCGTGGAGAAGCAGGCAACCGAGGGCCCCCACCCAGGCCCTGCAGAAACCTCTGCCCACAGCTCTGCTCAGGGAGCAAGTGGCACCCTCGAGACCCCAGCGCCCCCTTGGCCCAAGTCAGCCAGCTCCACAGCCAGGCCGAGGGGGGACACTCAGGGATGTGCACCTTGAGAGTGTGGGCTCAGAGTGCAACTTGCGGCACACGTGGGCCAAGGGAGGATCCAGGCTGAGCGGGTCTCACCCCACCTCACCCCTGTGCCCCACCAGATACCACCCCCCATGCGGCACCCCTGCAGGCTGGGGTCAGACACACTCAGGGAGGCACCGCTGGGCCTCCAGGGACATAAATGAACCTGCTACCAGCTTTGTCCTCCTCAAAGGGGTGGGGTGGGGTGGGGTGGGCAGAGGTGAGTGGGGAAGGGGGCCTGAGGAGCAGGAGGCTGTCTCCCTTTGGCCTGGCTCCCAGGGCAGGGCCTCTGGGGATGAGGAAGCGGGTTGGCCAAGGCTGGCAGGAGAGCAGAGATGGGCAGGACTCCCCATGGAGCCCTGGGCTCACCTCTCCACCCCTTCATCATACTGGAGTGGGGCAGGGAGGGGGACAGAGGGGAGTTGCCTGGGCTCCCACCCTAGGCCCCAACACCCAGGGTACTCTCAGCTCTGTCTCATTCAGCTGTCACCATCCCAACACCCCCCAAATCATCCCATCTACAAAACCCTGCAGCCACCCACAGGTGAGCGGGAGAGTCTGATCTGAAATGAAATTGGAAACATCATCCAAGGGTCCTGGGGCCAGCTGGAATGAGGACACAGGTGCATCAAAGCTGAGGCCAGGTGAGGGCCCTGTCAGCGTCAGTCCCCCAAGTCCAACCTCTCCCACACAGGAGTCCCCTTCGTCCAGCCGGTGGGGGCCCAAGGAGACATGTTCAGGAGATGGCATCCGGCTGGCTCGGACCGTCTGTGCCAGGACCAGGTGAGCATCCAGCTGGCAAGGCCCCTGGGCCAGAAGTGGAAGAGCCCACGAGGCAGCGCAGCGCAGCCCCACTGCTGCCCCACCAGACGGTGACATACCTGGGCTTGCCGCGGGAAAGAAGCCAGGCGGTGCTTGGTTCCCTTGAAGGTGAGCCAGCAGGTGGACCGATGGTCAGTGCAGCCAAGACAGGCTGGAGCCCTGTGGGAGGGAAGATGGGCACAGTGGAGCCCACACCGTACCCTCTGCGGGGCTCCCAGAGGCTGCGCAGGCACCTCAGGGATGAGGAACAGCCCTGCACTCAGGACCAGGTACCTACAAGGGCTGGAGACAGCAGCTGAGGGACTGGTAGGGGTGCACTGCCAGACTCGGGGGACCAGAACAGGGGGGTTCAAATAGGGCTCTGCTCCCAACCTTGGGTCACTCATGCAGAGATGCCCAGGGAGGGAGACAGGTTTGCACACAGACACAGAGACAGCACACGTGGGGTCTGTGCGTACAGAGAATATACGTGTTCAGGGCATGTGGCGGTCATGGCATGGTCCCCAGAGGTCCAGCCTTCGGTGTCCATTTCCCCTAAGATGCCCTGCAGCCCAACCATTCCTGGGATCCAAGCAGATATATGCCCTGAGCCATCAACCTCACTCTCTCCCCACCGAGCCAGCTGGTGATGACTCACCAGGCCTGTTCCCCTGCCATCGGCATTCATGGGACGACTCTGCCCTCCCCCACCAGCCAGGGCCTTTGAGGAGGGGACTCCAAGCTCACGGGGCAGGGGGGTGTCTGAAGGCATCCCAGTCAGGCCCCCCACATCTCACTCCTCAGACCAGGTGCTCCTTGCAGCCTGGGGGTGGGGCAGGCAGTCTTCTCAGCAGCTCAAGGGCAGGAGGGGACTGCAGAGGTTCAAAACATCAGCATGGCAGATGTCCACCCCCCACACTCATCCTCTCATGGGTGCCCACTGCTGCCAGTCCACCCGACCTACGTTTGAGGCTGGCGAGAGGCCAGTGAGCAGACGGACGTCTGCAGGTGACCTCATACGAGTCCTCCCCAGAACCTCAGTGAGGAGAGGATGCACCTGGGGGTCCCTGTGCCCAGGGATGAAGCAAACAAGGAGGGGTTTCAGGCCCAGAAAGTAGCAAGGGCAGTGGGGGGGGGGAGGAGGGGGGCAGCCAGGAAAGGAACACACCTCATCCACTTTCCTTGATAAGCCCCCTCTCCAGGAGCTATGGAGCCCAAAGCCCACAGCAACATTCTAGAAGCTAAAAACCATGCATCAAACCCCACCATGCCCCTACACCTCAAGACCTGGGCATCAGGGGGGATGGGCCTCCCAGGCAGGGCCCAAAGGGCAGATCCACCAGCAACCCCCCAACCCCCCTGGGCCCCCCAAAATGAGGAAGTCCCATGGCCAACACCAAGCCGAGGCTGGAGGAGACCACTGCCCAGCCACACTCGCAGCCCTCGCCCCCAAGGCAGCCCGTGGACCCTCCATGAATGACCTCTAGCCCTCCCGGCCCCCACAATGCTCCTCCGTGAGTCCAGAGCCTCCCACTCCCATCTAGGGCAGCCCAGACACAACCCTGCAGTTGGGGCAGGATGCAGGGACCAGACAGGACCACAGCTGGCTCCATCTCTCACCCAGGCCCAGCCTCCTCCTCCAGGAAGCCTCCCTCCCCATTCCCTGTTCTGGGCTTCCTTTGAGGGCAGGGTCTGACAAGCCTGCATCCCCCGGAATGGTACCTGCAGCAGGCAACAAGGACAGAGCTGAGGGAGAGCCCCAAGACAAACACACCTACAGTCCTGGGCTGGGTCTTCCTGACTCTCCAGGGCTCTGGGGTGGCGAGCAGCTGCGGGACCCCAAGGGAGCAGAAGCCATGAGAAGGCCATGGGCACCCACCTGGCCAGACCAAGGTCCCACTCGAAGAGGAACCACCCCAAAATCCGAAACAAAGATGGGAGGTTGCCAGTGGCGTGGCATACTGTGCGCCCCAGCAGCTAAGAGGCAGCAGGGGCCCGGCCTGGGGGCACACACCCCAGCGGGGGCAGATCAGTGCGTAGAGGAGAACACAGCCACCTACCCGGGGGGGCCCCCAGGCAGAGCGGGCTCTGAGGCAGCTCTGAGGAGCCAGGGAGGCCCTGCCAACGCAAACAGTCCTGTGGTGTCGGCCTTCCTGCTGCTGATCCAGCCCCGCAGGCCCAAGGCCCACCCAGGCCCCCACCGTGGGGGAGGGGCGCACACACCCCTCCCCCACAGAGCCAAGGCAAGGCCATCTCCCCACAGCCAAACTGGAGCCTCCAGGGCTGGGAGACACCCACTCCGGGGCAGGGGCCCCCCAGTTTCTCCTGGGCCCGGCAAGGCCAACCCCCACCTCAGGGTCTTCCCCCCACATCCCTGCTCCTCCTCCCCTCCCCCTCAGGTATTTCTCTGCTGGAGGTGGCAGTGGGGAGGACACCATCAGGACCCCGAGGGGGGCCGCCTTTCCACCCACCACAGGCCCTGGGAGCATCCTGCCTCAGGCACCCACAGTGTGTGCCCGCCCGCCCCCAGGCCACCAAGACCCCTACGGAGCAGTGCCACACGGGGGCCCAGGCAGCAGGGCCGGCAGGCAGGGCTGTTCCCAAATGCCCTCAGCCCAGGCTTGTCCAGAGGGTGGTCAGGTAAGGGCCAGTCAGCCTCAAGTACGCCTGCAAACCCCACCAGGCCAGGGCTAGTATGGGTACCGCAGGCAAGGAACGCCGTCTGACCCTGGGGAGGCGTCTGAACATGTGTGTTCTGGGACCCCACCCCACCCTGCACATCTATCCAAAGCAAGACGGGCTAGGGGCCAAGCGTGCACAGCCAGGATCGGGACCCTCCAGCTGGGCAGCTTCTGGTTCTACCCACACGTTACAGATGGAGAAACTGATGCCAGGACCCGTGGGCAGGGTCAGCTGACGCCCTGTATACAGGGCAATGCTCCGGGCCAGAGCGTCTCAGCAGCAAAATCTTCAACCGCTGAGCTCGCCTTGATCCCTGCCTGCCCTGCAGTGACCCTCTTCTGGCAGGAAACGTGGCTCACGGGTTCCCAACCACATGTGAGCTCAGCCCTCCCTCCCTAAGCCTCCCGCCACTGGGGGCAGGATACCCCATTCTCGAAAAACTGGCACTCTCCCTCCCCGGAGGCCTGGGCCACATCTGTGCTGACACTGCACACAGAGAGGGGAAGCAAGGGCCCCCCCCCTTTTCCCTACAGGCAGGCAAGGCTCCCCCATCCCTACTCCCCACCAGGACCCTGGGGCCCATGCCTCCCTCCTGCCCACCCTGAGAAGAGCCAGGCCCAGGGCCCAGCTACTCCCCCACAACACACACAGAGGGACACGGCCACCCAGGGCAGAGGCAGGGGGCAGGGCTGACCTCTGAGGCTCCCAGTGTCCCCCGGCCGGGGCTGGGCAAAGACAGAGTACAGAGAAGAGGATCAAACACCCCCAGGGGCCTCGGTGCACACCTGTGTTGAGAGCATGCAAGCAGGCTGCGGGCGGGCAGCCGTGATGCTCCCCATGCCCTCTCCCTGGAAATCAGGGAGCAGAGGGAGGAGCCCGGGGAAGAGGAGGCCACCACCACCCCCAAATCTACACACAGCTCACAGAATTCCAGGAATGTCAGCTTGGCTCTGGCCAGGATCAGGGAGGGAGGCTCATTGCCCTCACTCTTTCGGAGTAAACAACTGCTCAGGGCAGGAGCATGGGTGGGGCAGGCCCTGGGCCCCTCCTCCAGGAAGCCTTCCACCACCACCCCCAGGTCCCTAAGGCCCACCCGCTGAGAGCCTGGATCCCCTCCACTGTGTCCCTCACCTCCACGGTTGCCAGCAGCCTCTGCCGCTGAGCCTGGGTCTGACCCCAGGCCACTGTGACTCGAGGCCCCCTAACCCGTGTCCCTCTGTCCGGGGACAGGATGTGCGTCCAGTGGGTGGCGGGGGGGCAGCTGGGAAGGGAAGTAGCCTCACTCGTGGCTCTGCACGTGGCAGCGTAGGGGATGACAAATGCACCAGGCAGGCTGTCCGGGACCCAGGCAAAGGTGGGGGCACAAACTCCAGGCAGGGGGCAGCTCTGGCCAGCCGCACCCAGGCCCCAGGGAACCCTCTGGCTCCCTCCCCCTCAGCTAAAGCCAGAACCCATCATCCACCTGAGAGGGCGGGTAGCTGATGCCTGGGACTCAGCACAGGCCCCACACACCCCCAGCAGAGATCCAGAGGCCCCAGGCCAGGGAACCTGACCAGGCCCCTCCCACCAACACCCGTGCCTAAGTCACAGGTGCCACATCCCCCGCACAGCCCAGAAATTTACCTCCTCCAGGGAGCCTTCCCTGCCTCTCACTGCACACTGATCTCCCCCCCCCAGCCTCCAGCCCCGGGATCAAGTAGCTCATCTTACCCCATTTCCAGAGACACAGCCTCACCTTCCTTTAAGTCCTCGGTGGCTCTTGCCCCATCACCTCTAGCCCTACCACCTGCTCCGGCCCTGGCACAAACTTGTGGCCTGGACCTGCCCCGCAGGTATGGCCTCCAGGCCTCCATCCAGGCGTTCCCTTTGCCAGGATCAGTCCACTCCTTTACACACACTCAGGCTCACTCCAGGTAAAATCGTGCTCTTCAAGGTTCAATTCAAAAGGCACCTCTTGCACGACGCCCTCCCTGACCACCCTCTCCAGCCTCCGCCCCTTTCTGAGTCCTCAGAGGCCCGACGCCCCCAGATCACGGGTACCCAGCACAGCCTGGCCCGGGGTGGATGCAGACCCAGCCCGCACCCCCTCCCAGACCCTTCCTCCGGAAGAAGGGAGGAGGGACGCGATCCCAAGCGGATCGCTGGGGCGCCTGCGGGAGAGGAGCTGCCGCTGAGCCCGCCGCGCCCTCCCGCCGTCGGGGCTGCAGGTAACTGCCCGGCCGGGACCGACCCCGGGCGAGCGAGCGGGCGGGCCGGGCCACGGCTGAGAACCGGACCGCCAAACTCAGCCCCAGAGACCCCGCCCCGGGCGCGCGAGGGCAGGGGCTCCAGGCGGGGAGAGCCTTCTCCCCGGCCGGGCCAGGAGGGGCGGCGGGAAGGCCCGTCCGTGGCCGCGCGCCCCCGCTGGCCCCCGCTGGCCGCCGGCCAGCCCCTCTGTAATCCCCGCCGCGGGTCGCCGCGCCCCCGGCCCTGGCCCCGGCCCCGCCACTTGTTGCGGCGGCTCGGCTCGGGGCTCCAACTCCGCGCCGGGTCGGCTCGGCTCGGGCCCGGCCCCAGCCCGGCTCCGGGGCTCGGCTCGGCGGCTGCGGGGAGCGGGACCCTGGCCGCATCCCCACCGGCGGGCGCGGTACCTGCGCGCCGTCCGCCCGCCGCGCAGCTGTCAGTCATGCGGCCACGAGGAAGGCGAACCGCTGCCGTCGGGCCCTTTCGGTCCCGTTAGGACGCCGTAGGCCGGGACATACCAAAGCGGCGGACGGGGGGAGCGCCGCCTGCTCCGGCCGCGGCCGCGCGGGCCCCGGGGCCCCCGTTCCGCGCAGAAGGAACTCGACCCGGCGGGGAGCGGACGGCGGCGGCACCGGGGCCGGCGGGGCGGGCTGGGGGCGGCCGCGGGCGGGACGGGACTCCCCCTCCCCCCGCGCCATGGACGCGCCCCAGGCGGGGCCGTCCGCGGCGGAAGCTCAGCCGGCTCGGGCAGCGAGGGCGCTGCGCTGCCGCCGCCATGATCATCCCGGTGCGCTGCTTCACCTGCGGCAAGATCGTCGGCAACAAGTGGGAAGCCTACCTGGGGCTGCTGCAAGCCGAGTACACCGAGGGGTGAGGCGCCGGGCCGCGCGGGGGTAGGGAGCCGGGGTCGAGGGGTCCTCGCCTGCGGGCGCGCGGGGCGACGTCTCGTTCGCGAGCCAGGGATTGAGGGCCTGCGGGACCCAGTGGCGGCGGCGGGGGTCCGGGGTAGAGGGACCGCGATCTGTGGGGCGTGGACGCAGGGGCAGAGGGCGAGGTCGGGGGCCGCGGTGTGCGGGTGGGCTCCTGCTGGGCGCGGGGGCGAGGGAACGGCGGGCCGGGGTCCCGGGGCCCTGGCCAGGCGGCGGGCGCTCGTACCAGATTCCAGGTGGCCCTGCAGAGGCTTTCCCCCGCCCCGCGGGCTCTCCCCCAACCCTGCTCTACTGACCTGCTCTCAGGAGAGCGCTGCCGCCCCTTCACCCCCGCCTTGTAGTTTGGGGAGGGGAGGGGAGTTGGGCGTCAAGCCACCGGTGTCTTGGCACTTGTAGGTATCCCGCAGTTAAGTGCTCTGCCTCCTCCCTGGCCACCTGCTCCCTAACCTCTCTCCGCTGTTAGACCCACCCCTGTGCCCCAGACCCTCTTGTCCTGTGGGAGGTAGAACAAGCTTCCTGGCCACAGAGCCGTGAGTAGCGGGTTGTTCTGGGGGCTTCTTTCCTGTCCCTGCCCCTCAGCACTGCAGTCACCACCAGGTTTGTCTGAATCTCTGTTCTCTCGTACCGGCGGCCTCTGGGCCCCTGTGTGGACTGGCCCTTGTCCTGATCACATTTGAACCCTGGGCCTGGGGTGTTTGGCCAGGGCTGCACTGAGTGCTCATGACGGGTCTTGATGAGTCTGTTAGAGTGACCAAGTGTGAGTGAACACCTGGAAGCCTGCACAGGACTCCCCCCCTTCCCTGCGAGATGCCCTGGGCAGGAACCAACCAACCTGGCCTCCTCTGTCCCAACTTGCCATCTCTGCACAACCGAGCGGTGCTGTGGGAATTTTCTGGAAGCCTTTAGGGAGACTGGGCTGGGTCCCAGGGACATTGACAACTCTAATTGGCTTGAGAAACGAGAGAGAGATGGCTTCCTGGAGAGACGTCCCTCCCTGACGTGTGGCGCGGGCATCCCACGCGGGGCCCTCTGTCCCCGCAGGACTGCCTGGATGAACAGGGTGTGGTCTGCTCTTCTCACCGCAGGGATGCCCTGGATGCGCTTGGCCTGAAGCGGTACTGCTGCCGCCGCATGTTGCTAGCACACGTGGACCTGATCGAGAAGCTGCTCAACTACGCGCCTCTGGAGAAGTGACGTGTGGTGCCCACCGCCCGCCGTGCTCACACAGGGCGGTCGGTGCCTTGCCCCACTGCATCCTGCCCACCGCCTGTGGGTGTGTCTCTGCTCTGGAAGAAACTGTCCAGTAAAGGTCTCTGTAGAACCATGAGGAGATCCTGACAGTCGGCCTGGCTTTGGGTGACTCCCTGCCCGCTGGTGTTTGTGTGTCCTGCCTCGTGCCTGAAGCTGCTTGGGGTGTACATGGCTCTCGCTGCCCAGGGGGAGGGAGAGCCATCCAAGTGGCAGCTGTTCAGCAGGGGTGGGGGGGGTTCTCCTGGAGTGTGGGCTC